GATGGAGCGCCACCCAAGCGAAATGCTGCGCGACCTCGCCAGCTACGTCCCGCGCGGCCCTCTCGAACTGCACGACGACGCAGAAGAAGGGTACTGGGAGGAAGAGGAGGAGGAAGACGAGACACGCTTTGTCAACTTTTCGCTGCTCTCCAACATCGCGGTGCAGCTGCGCGACAAGGTGCCCCGCGGCACGCATGTCAAGGGGAGCATCCCGTACCCGCGCGCATTCACGGGCAAGGATATCGTGAGCACCATCCAGACGCAGATCCAGCGCGAGCTCGCGATGAATCATGGCATTTCGACGAACGATCGGAGGGCGGCGTTGCAGGTCGCGCGCAGTCTGCAGAGCCAACTGTTCTTTTACGAGGTCGAGTGGGGCGGGAGGGTGCTGCAGGATGGGGTGGAGGATGTGTACATGTTCTTGGACGATCAGGAGGGCCCGTCGGATGCTGCGCCTGAGCGCGAGGAGCTTCCGACCGGTGTTGTGACGATGCTGACCAAGTGCTACTCGCCCAGCTGCGGCGACGAGTCGCAGTGCTACTCGTACGGATGTCCGCGGCGGGTGCGTTCTACTCTATTCTCTTTCAATTCAAGCTAATATTGTACAGGGTAACTCCTTCGTCGTCGCCTCCACCCCTGGCGCTACCGAGACCCCCGTCTTGCCCTCGCGCGAGGAATGGCCTCATACCGTCCCTAAAGAGGTGCTCTCCCAGCTCCCCGCGAGCGAGATCAACCGGCAGACGATCATACACAAGCTCATCAGCAAGGAGAGCCAGTACGTGCAGGACCTCGATACCGTCGAGACCGTCTTCCTCAAGCCCCTCCGCGCGGCCATTCCACCCGTCATCCCCCTCGAACGGCTCGAGGACTTTATCGACGAGGTGTTTGGGAATATACTGGATTTGCGGGAGTGTAACCGACGGTTGCTGGAGGTGATGTATGTGAGGCAGAGGGAGCAGGCGCCGGTTATCCAGAGGATTGGAGATGTGTTCCTTTCGGCGGCGACGGAATTTAGACTTGCGTATCCCATTTATATTGGGCACCACCCGTTGGCGGAGAAGCGCCTCAAGGAGGAGACGGACGCGAACCCCGAGTTTAGGCTGTTCCTCGAGGTGCGTGTCCGAGTACCTCTAATCGACCCCAGTGCTAACACTTTGCGCAGCACTGCGCACGCCAAGCTTCGCGCACGGGCGACACCATGCGCCTCGACCTGAAGCACTTCCTCAACCGTCCCGCGGAGCACCTACAAAAGTACCCCGTTCTGCTCGAGGCGATCTTCCACGAGACCGCCGAGGGGAACCCGGACGCGGATTATCTCATGGAGGCCGTCGGGGCGATCAAAAACCTGCAGAGCGTCGCGCAGCTGCGGACTTTCCAGACCGCCATGGGCAAGGGCGCGCCGGGCAAGTGGGAGTGGCATGACCTCGTGGCGCCCGAGGTGCGCAAGGCGATGCCGAAGGAGGAGCAGAAGCGGCAGTCGATTATATTCGAGCTGATCAAGGGAGAGATGGCGTACGTGAAGGATTTGGAGAATATAGAGAATGTGGGTCTCCTTCTGCCTCCATTCTTCCGATTGCTTCATTAACATGAGTAGATGTACATCATACCCCTACGCGCGGCGCGTCCGCCCATCATGGCGCCCGAGCGCCTCGAGCAGTTCATCACGGACGTGTTCCACAACTTCTCGGAACTGCACGCGCACCACCTCAAGCTCATCGAAAAGTTCCATGAAATCCAGCGCGAACAGCATCCCGTCATACAGAGCGTCACGGCGGCCATGTTCGACGCGGCACTCAACTTCCGCGACGTGTATATGGAGTATATTCCGAACTACCCCATTGCGGCGTATCGGATTGACGACGAGATGGCGAATAATCCGGAGTTTAAGAATTTTGTGGAGGTGCGTGTCTTCATTGAGACTTGTGAGGAAGGCGTGTACTGAAGGAAGGCGTAGGCATGCGTGCGGCATCCGGATGCACATCGGCTCGACATGAAGAACTTCATTAATCGGCCGATTCCGCGGTTGCTGCGATACGAGCTGTTGTTGAAGGGGGTGCTGGACGAGACGCCGACGACGCACGATGATCGAAAGGAGATCCCGCAGGTGCTTGAAGTGATCAAGGCGCTGGGGAAGGACACCGAGCCCGGGGTCGTGTCGGCGAAGCAGAAGGTGGAGCTGTGGAGGTATAATTCGAATTTGGTCTTCAAGCCTGGAGAGGCGATCGTGCGTATTCGTCTCAATATCGCTCTGTGCCAAGCTGACCCTGGGCGCAGGACATGGACCTCCTTGACGAGAATCGGTCCCTGATTTATGCGGCCAAGGTTATTCGCCAGCCGGATAATACTATTCCGTCGTTGGAATGGAGTGGATGGAGCGAGCTGTTTGTGGTGCTGTTCGATAATTATGGTGAGCGCGTCGCCTTTGTACGATACCATGGCTAACTTGTGGATAGTGGTGATGACGAAGCCCAAAGAGAAGGACGGGGTCACCAAGTACCACGTTAATCGACGGGTGAGTGGCCTCGCGATAGTGGCCAGCGACCAGGATGCTGACCCGTGTCTAGCCGATTCCCTTAGATCTACTAACACTAGTAAACTTCACTGACCCGCCAACACAACGCGGTGCCGGCCTGCTCCGCAATCTGCGTGGCGAGCGGCACGACCCCAACGGCACGCCCGCCTCCGCGACCCCCGACAGTGCCAGCGACTCGCGCGCTGCCTACCCGTGGACGATCCACCACAACGGGCGCCTTGGCGGCGCGCACATCCTGTTCTCCGAGTCGGCGCAGGCGCGGGCGGAGTGGAAGCAGAAACTTGAGGAGGCGCTGGGCATCCGCAAGGTTGTGCAGGAGTCGAATCGGGTGTTTGAGGTGGAAACATTGAGTGCGGATACGTTTTTGGTGCCGTCGGTGCAGGTGGGGCCGCCGTCGCCGCAATGGAATCAGGACACATCGTTCACGGGCAAGGTCACTTGCTCGGTGCCGTTCAGTGCGTGACACGCCGTCTTGTTGGTGGAGCTGAGCTCACAGTGTTGTAGATACCCCGGACGGGCGCGGTTTGGTTGCCATTGGATGCGCGGAGGGCGTGTGGATTGGTTTCCGTCATGATCCCAGGTGTAAGTATCCGTGGTTTCACCGACTTGCTGGTCTGATATCGTTACAGCCATGCGCCGCGTCCTGCATCTCAAAATGGTGACCCAGTGCGCGATGCTTGAGGAGTTTGGTATTTTCCTCGTCTTGGCCGACAAGGTGCGTCTGATACGAAGACCTTCAAATGGCGTCTAATGTGTACACAGTCCCTATTCGCGTACCACATTGAGGCGTTGGTGCCCTCGTCGCCAGGGCAGGGCACCCATGCCTCACAGGTTCCCCAGAAGCTGAACGGGACAAAGGACGTGCACTTTTTCAGCGTCGGGACCCTCCATAACCGAACACTTGTTATCTACATGAAAAAGAAAGGGGTGCGTGTATGTTTGCAGTATTGAACGTTGTATTTACTGATCGTTCTTAGCTGGACAGCATCTTCCGCGTCCTCGAGCCAGTGAGCGACAAAATAAACGAAAAGGTCAAGGCTCCTGCGGGCTTTGGCTCGCGTCTCGGGTTCCGGTCGACCAAGTCGGAGTGGTTCCGGATTTACCGAGTATGTGGCGTTTGCTGTACGAAAGGACTATGATTAACCTTTTCGCAGGACTTTTTCTTGCCATCTGAATCTTTTGACTTGTACTTCCTCAAGGCAAGGATTGTCATTCTTTGCACCAAGGGTTTCGAGATCATGGACCTGAACGAGTGCGTTGTCAATCACAGCGACGGATGCGCCTTTGACATTTTTTTGAAGCTTTAAGAGTGTTACCATCCCACTGCGAGATGATCCTAGACTTGCTCCGTTGTCGAAGCGATGCGATGCATGTCGTCCCATTGGAATGTTCCGGTCCAACGAAGACGGCTTCCTGTTGTGTTACAACGGTGCGTTGCCTATGAACCGACAAATTCTTCTATCTCACGCGTCAACAGAATTCGGGGTTTACGTCAACAAACACGGAGAGCCTCAGCGCGGCAACACCACCATTGAATGGGAGGGCAACGCTGAGAGGGTCGCCCTGCACGCGCCGTACATTCTCCTTTTCGACCCTCGATTCATCGAAATTCGAAACGTCGAGACTGGGCGCTTGGCACAAATTATCCCAGGCAACGACATTCGTTGCCTGTGGGATGGGCGGGGCGTTGGCTCGAGCATTGTCGCAACGCCGGCAACTGACGGCGAGCCGACTGTGCAAGACGCACAGGTGCATGCGGTGATGAATGGTGTGGACCCGTCGCAGCCTGGAAGCCGGCCTTCACGAGCAGTCGCGCAGCATGTCTTTGAGCTCATCCCCACCATCCCGCTCTTCCTGCCAGAGCCAGCGCCGCCTCCACCTCCTCCCCAATCGCAGTACATGAGCCGAAATTCGTCCTACTCTCCCCCACCCTTATCACCCACCCGCGGAACCGCACCTAGTTGGCGATGAACATGTAATGGAATGTATACTATACCTTATGCGCGTCGTAGTTTTTGTATATCTTATGGAACCGACTTGCATACCACTTGACAAGTTTTTGTTTGCATTTCGATCACGATCATTTTGAATTGATGGCGACCTTGCTTGGCTTTCGTGAGCCCCCTTGGTCAGTTCTTCACCGTTTCTCTTGATTTATATTTCAATGGCAGTCCAGTCCATCCCTCCACAGTTTTTAAGGCTCGACGTGTTTTCGGAATCCACCGTTTCCTCGTTTCAGTCCACAATTTGATAGGTCGGCCTCGCTCGGCCGAAAGCGCATTCTTGCCCTAGTTCACTCAGTTCTTGTTCAATTCACTTCATCTTTGAGACAATCCTATGCTGTGAAGGCAGGGCTACACGCTGAGAGTGTTTTCGGGCAGCCCAGAAGTTCACTCAGGCCGGGAGTATCAAAAATAGGCGATTTGCCTCTGATAGCGATAATGAAATACTTCCAGAAGTAAAACAACTGCCCCCGAGAGGCTCGAACTCTCGATCTCACGATGTGTTACTGAAATAACAGTCGTGCGCCTTAACCAACTGGGCCAGGGGGCACTTAGACAGCATTCCCAACATGCACACACGACTGAGAGCAAGCCTTGACCACAAGAAACAAAGAGAATTGAATCAGCCGTTGCCGAGAACAGTGTGCGCCTAACCAACTGGGCCAAGGGGCATTTAGACAGCATTCCCAACATGCACAGACGACTGAGAGCAAGCCTTGACGCAAGAAACGAAGAGAATCGAATCAGCCGTTGCCGAGAACCAGAGGAAACAACAGTGTGCGCCTAACCAACTGGGCCAAGGGGCACTTAGACAGCATTCCCAACATGCACAGACGACTGAGAGCAAGCCTTGACCTCTAGATATCAAGAGAGTTGAACATCAGAAGAGTCCCAGCCAAAACAGAGCCAACACTGAATTAAAGTCAGTGGTTCCATTAGTACTAAAGGAGCCTGGTAAGAACCATATTTAAAAAGCTACCAGAGGTGTCCTATCCTATACTTTAAAACACGAAGAGCACAGCTTTTTTTTTTGATAAATCATGTGATAAGTCACGAGTTGATTCCCACGAGATGCCCGAGCGTTAGCGAGGGCCAAAACAGGCGAGCTCGGAAAACACCGTGTCCTTGCGAGCAGGGGTTGTGCAGCAAACCGACCCGCCAAGGGCGGGTCCCCCTCAACTTGTTTTGGAGAAAAGCTGCGTCGCAACTTCGCATCACGGCATCATCGCCTAAAGCACCGCCACCCGGACCGGCTAGCCGGCTACTTTTCAGTGCCATGCTGAAAAGGACAACGAAGCTACTGCCTCTTTTGCAGCGACGCTTCTATCCTGAGGCTTTCCCCAAACCTCTCCCTGAAACAACCTCCGAGATTCTTGCTGCCTGGATCAACACGCCAAAGTACCAGACTCTAACAGACACACTGAGCGCTGATCGTCTCTCCGACCTCTATATCACGCTCCCGACGCGAGATGGATCCAAAAAACCATATGAACCACCTCCAAAACTCTCGGAGCCGTTACCGTATGGCTCACACTTTGTGTTCTTTCACCCCAGGAACCCGGACCGCGTTCTGCGCCACGACGGAGCCGATGGCGAGTTTTGCCCACCCCCGCCCTATTCAAGACGAATGTGGGCCGGTGGGAGCATAACGTGGGACAACGACAATCCACTGCTCGTCGGTAAAAACGCAGTCTCCTCTGCGACCGTTCCTAGCGTCGAAGAAAAGGTTTACCAGTCGACCACCCTGGTGTATGTCACTCAGAACATCGAAATCACCATGGAGGGCAAGACTCGGCCTTCGGTGGTCGAACAGAGGTCGCACGCCTATAGTGCCGCCCACACCGAAGCTGGTAGATTACCTAGAGAATGTGAGCCATCCTGCGCGCTCTTTGACTAGGCCTCACCGTCTATCTAGTTAGAGGCCTCCCGACGACTTTTGATTTCACCTTCAAATTCACCCCAACGCCTACCATGCTCTTTCGATTCTCTGCTCTTACCTTCAACGCCCACCAAATCCACCTTGACGGAAATTATGCGCGACTAAAAGAAGGTTACAAGGGTCAGTTGTTATCCAACATCGCAGCTTGTCCCGGATTTTAAAGATTCACTCAGAGAGGCTGGTGCACGGGCCCTTGACGGCCCTTATGATGCTTGAAGCCGTCAGACTTGAAAGACCTGACGCACGGTTTACCAGCTTTAATTATCGGGCCAGGAATCCTCTCGTCGTCAACCGGGCTATATCCATCAACGGAGTGTGGCAGGATGAAAATACCGTCGAGCTGTGGTGCGTGGATAGAGCGGGTGTAGTAGGAATGACCGGTTTCCTGGAACTCGTGCCAAAATAAACTGGCTCAACTAATTGCACAAATCTACCCTCTCGGTAGCGTCCACCACAACCACAACCTCAACCTTCAAGGGGGTCAGAAACCACACGGCGACTTTCGAGATTCAACCTCCATCTTTGCGCGGCCTTGTGTTAGTCCTCCGCCTTGCCTCCGCCAATCTTTTTCGACTCTCGCTGCCTGCGCGTCGGCTGTCAGCCGTGTTCTCTCCCAAATAAAGAGTTTGTCTTGGGCTCGAATGGACTCTATGTGCGCGGACATCTGTTTCTTGAGTTCCTTGTCAACTCCGAGAGCTACGGTCTCAGGAACCCCCGCCGCCCATCATTGAACACCAGCGTCGGGTCAATAAAACCTTGCGGGGCCATTCGGGGAGAGGATCTGCGTGACGGGGATGCACCGCGCCGAATATGAAGTCGATCCCAATGTTTCATCCGCGCGTCAGCTTCTCGATGGTCAGGGTCATATCAACGCTTCGGTCGGGAACATGCGCTGCACCCATGGACCTCGAATACCGTGACTCTGTGTGCTTCAGGGAGCTGATGACGATGGAAATAGTAGAGATACTTCGCAGGCCGGAGAGCTGTCCGCTTGGCCAATGGATTTTTGTGCTAAGCACACACCGAACAGACCAGTGATTCTAGTCTCTTCTAAACAGACGTACAACATAAAAAAAACCTCGTACCTCGTTATGTTGTACAGTTATACTCGAGGCGCCGAGGATAGACTTGTTGTTTTCGGAATAAAACTCTTCGGCGCCGGGCGCACAAATCGCGTTTCGTATTACGGCCCGCCCTTTGCAATTCACTGCTGTAGGGCGCCAGGATTGGAAGAAATAACTTTCGAGAAGGCTGTCTAAACATAACTTTGACAGCTGGTGGCTGTACCGAATCAAATCAGCAGAGCTTTGGAACATAACAAGGACAACTCATCTTCCTCAACTCGTCAATTCACTTCGTTTAAACCTGAGCGCGCTATTCCGTTAAGCTTGTTACGCTGCGCGTCCCTACTACGTATGCTGGAGCCCCAAGTCAGGTGCTGTTACACGGTGCCGTCCCGACTGCCCGACTGCCCGGCCCGCTGTCGCCGGTCAACCTCCGCTGCTTTCAACCAAGAAACCACATGAGCACTATGAGGCACCATAAATTGGTTCAGATTCGACTGAGCAAACATGGCTCCGCACATTGTTCTTCTCCTCGTCCTCGCCTATGTTGCATCTGCATCTGCGTTTGCTAAATATGCAGCCTGCCAGAGCACATTGAAGCCCAAACTTCTTCCAACACTCTCCTGTCCTGCAGGTCCGCTAATTGTGCTGCTGTTTTGTTCCTCGCTTGACTTGATGTGGTTCAGGAACGATTTTTGTGTCTCAAACAGATAAAAATGCTCATTTTAAGAGCGTTCAAGCTGCTGTCACTTCTTTGCCCAACGATACCTCGCCTGCATACATTCTCATTGGCGCGGGGACCTATCAAGAAGCGGTAAATGTCTCAAGGATAGGGCCCACGACACTGTTGGGTCAGACCGACCATCCAGCATCTTGTCAGTGTTGCATCGGGTGCTCGAACATTCTATTGATTTGTATCCAGATGCACAGAATCTCGTTACGATATTCAACACCACGTTCATAAATCAAACCACACAGGACGCGAGCATCGAGGACAATGCGCAATCCGCGGTGCTAACGGTTGCGCCCAATAAATACGCTGCTTGGACGGGAGCGGGATACTACGGTGGCACTCCGGTCCCAATTCCTGACGTGCGCCTTTGCCTCAACTACCGGTCTACCCCCTCATGCGCATGTTGTCCAGGATTTTGGATGCACCGACTTCAAGGCGTACAACATCAATTTCGAAAATCGGGCAGTTAGTGCATTCCTTACTTACTTAAGCTACACTTTTCCTGACCGTCACCTCAGGCAAATGGCGGCGTAGGCCCTGCGCTTGCATTTGGAATCGGTTTCGCCAACGCATCGTTCTACGCGTCCACCTTCCGCGGCATGCAGGCCACCATGTTCATCGGCAAAAATGGTAGCGCAGTCTTCCGCAAGAGTCAAGTTTTAGGCTCAGTGTTAGTCTCTCTTTCAAGCCATCCCAACCCATTAATTGACGGGCAGAACTTAGAGACTACATCTATGGGTTCGGCACTGCATATTTCGACCAAAGCCTGATCGGTTCTCGCGGCGCGGGGTGGTATGGGCACCTTTGACCAAAATTTCGATCCCTCTGACAACAACATTCCTCTAGCACGACAGCGTGGAAAGGCACCCCGAATTACACCAACACGTACGGCGCGTACTTTTCTCGTTCCTCGATCGTCCGTTCGCCAGACGCCAATCCATCGCTTGATCTCACCGGCCAGCAAACACTCGGCCGGCCGTGGAATAATGCCAGCGTTGTGGTGTATATGGATGTATGTTGCACATTCTTCGCATCCTTCAAAGGCTCACTTGAGTGTACAGTCATTCATGGACTCTTCTATCAACCCAGCAGGATTCCAGATATGGTCCCCCACAGATCCCCGAAACGAAACGATATATTATGCAGAGCAGGGATCGCACGGTAAGGATTGCACTCTATTTCCCCCCAATTTACTCACAGAGAGCTGCAGGACCAGGCTTCAATGCCTCCGCTCGCGCCTCGTTCGACCATCTTCTCACCGCTGAGCAAGCAAGCCAGAATTTCACAGTCGAAAAGATATTTGGGGGACTTCCGACATGGGTGGACTGGGAATTCTAAATCACGCCCACGTTTCGAGTATCTTTTGTGCGCCGAAAAAAAATGCGTGGTTCTACATTATTTACAGGCTGTAGCGTGGTATCATAAATATCAAAGTGTTTCGATCGCTCTCCTCACCTCCTCCGCACGCACTTCAAACATCCCCAACTGTCGCTCACCATCCATCTTGAACCGCTCATACTCGATTCCCATCTGATACCGAATCCACTCCTCCACCGTCATGTCCTGCTCGGCCTCGCTCAACGAGTCGATATTGACAAACGGATCCGTCGCAAGCGGCGGGATGAAGGCAAACCCTTCCGGACTCGTGGTCTGCCCGTTCCACTGCGTCGGCTCGTCCACGGCGATGGCAGAGGAAGCGGGCGCTGGTGGGGTACGCGGAGGGGTGACAGGCAGAGGATCCGGTTCCGGGTCCAGCATCGACTCTTCCACCTCCGCCATTTCCACGTCGTCTTCTCCGTCGTCCACCATCTGGT